CACAGAACTCTTTTTCATATCGTTAAAATAACTGGCAGTTACTTCAGGTGTAGCTAGTAAAGCAGCATACTTGATATTATTTAATTACTTTGTTTCTTAGGTTTTCTGTTTTAAATCCTTAAATCCCGTGCTTTCCAAACGTTGTAGCAGAAGTTGTACAGGCTACTGGAGTTCCCAAAATTAAAATGCTCTTTCTCCATTTCAGTTCTCTTCATGTTTAGATTGCTATAAAAGCCTGAAGCTTGATGAAATTACATAAATTTTTTTTCAGTGCCCATGATTGTTATTTTAAGTATGGAATATGGTTTTATATTGCTTGTTGCCAGGAGCAGATATGCAGAAGGAGTGGCACATAGCAGCGGCTACTGGAGTTCCCAAAATTAAAATGCTCTTTCTCCATTTCAGTTCTCTTCGTGTTTAGATTGCTATAAAAGCCTGAAGCTTGATGAAATTACATAAATTTTTTTTCAGTGCCCATGATTGTTATTTTAAGTATGGAATATGGTTTTATATTGCTTGTTGCCAGGAGCAGATATGCAGAAGGAGTGGCACATAGCAGCCATCGTTTCCCCAAAATCATGAAAGTGTTTAGGGTAGTACGGTTAAACTGTTCATCATATAAATCACAAAATCTAATCGTGTTAATTCCAGTCAGTTATAGAGGAATGTTGTTTTCATTGATTCTTTTTGTTGTAGAAAATGGCACTTCATCATGCCCTTGCAAAATATTTCTGATTGTGCAGGAAGGATATCATCTCCTCTTTCAGAGGGAGGCAAGTGATGAGAAGCATCTCTTGCTGTGCAGTACTTGAAAAGTTACTCTATTAAATTCAAAGAATGAACATTTCAGTTGTAATGTCTGTAGCGTACAAATTCATCTGTTAATGAACAGAAAGCTAAGGCTGATCACTGTGACAAGTGATGTAGTCAGCCTGATGCTCTTAATGTTTCTGCAAAACACTGAGCACAATGGTAGAGATATATGGTGGTAATAAATTTCTAAGCTTTGGTAAGTTACTGTAGGTGCCAAAAAAAGCTGTTGCATGGGAGTAGTGAGGTGAAGTTCATGCATACAGAAAGAGCACTAGTGTTTATGTGTAGATGTGATCAAACTTGGTTTTCCAGAATAACCTGTAGAATATTTTTAGATAGTGTGTTTTTTTTTTAACGTACGGTTCTATCACTACAAGTGATAATAAATAGGTGGCAGTAAAACAGTAACTTCTGTCACGCAGTAGCGTGTAACCTCAGTCTTTGGCACTTTCCTGCTCTTGTCTGAAAGCAGGAGATGACTTTGTAAATGGTGGTGTGCTGGGCGTAGAGGTTGGGGCAGCCAGGTCTGATGCTGCTGTAGAGAACTGGGTGCTGGAACCTTGCGCAAGGTCTGGAGAAGATAGAACATCAGCCTTTGATTTCTTTCCGTCATGATTGTGGCAGCAATCAGCTGTTCATAATTGTTGTATGCTGCTGCAGGGTTCACTGAGGGACTTAAAAGGTTCTAAAAATCTTCAGGAAAATTATAGTGAGAGAGGTAGGCAACCTAAATACAGGGGTCATGAGCATTCCCCTGTGATGTGAAGTTACTCTGTGTTATTTTGGTTGGCTGAGTTGGACGCTGGCAGTTTGTATCGATAGCCTCTTACGCATGAAAATATTTGAGGTACGTTTTCGGTAGAGCAGTCTCAAATGAGGAGCTGCATCCAGAAGTTGAAGCAAAATGCTTGAGTAACTTCTTGTGTGTGAGAGAGAGGGTGGTGTGGAGGTGGAGGGACTTCTTAGGCTAGGGAAGCACTTAAGTGTCTGGGTGTTACTAAGACTAGGAACAGGAAGCTGCCATTCATCAGTGAGATGCTTCTACTGAATGTTTTTTGAAACCTTTCCATGAATTCTAATGTCAGTTTTTATTTTATTGAAAGTCTTGGAAATTGTTTCGCCTCTGCACTGTACTTGGTGTGTGTGGTTTTTGTTTGTTTTCTGGGGAGGTTGTGCGGTGTGTTGTGTGTGGTGGTGTTTTTTTGTTTGTTTTTAACCAGGGTTTTGTTCAGTAGAGTGCTATGGCAATGGTTAGTGTAGGTTGAGGAGGCTCTACTTCATTTGATGTGTATTTGTCTTTTGACAAATAGTTTTAGGATTTATTTGTGTTAGAGCTTAGAAGAATTAAATTAGTTCATTGGGTATTGTTGTGATAATACCTAAGGTAGTCTGTAAATGTCTTTTTGAGAAGAGAAGGTATTTTTTTAACTAAAGAGCATTGTTTTTGTGAAGCTGTGTTCACCACCAAGTTGACACATCCTTTCTTTGGTATGTGCATCACAGCAGCTTTACAAGCTTGTAGAATCTTAATATTACATGCCATTTTTCTCTTGGAAAGCATATTGCAAAGATGCATGCCTGTAGCAAACCTCACATTCATTGTTACTTGTCTGCGTATAATCTGTGCGAAGTCAATTTTTTTATATAATAGTAGTTGTAGAAAATATTATGTATTATCCTTTTGAGGTAAGGAGGCATGTCCTGTAGCTCAAGGAAGTGTGAATATTTAACCTAGCACAATGCAGTCCTCTTATGCTAGGTGCACATAAGAGGAATTGAATTTGATGGTGTATCCAAGCCATTTATTTGACATTTTTTCCTAAAAATAACCACGAGGGGTTTAAAATAACTACTTAATACTTCTTGTTTATCAGAATCTTAAGAGAATAAGTTCGTTGGAAGAACATAACCCAAACATTAGTGGTAATGTTCACAAGTGATTTACTTTTATTCCAAAGAGATACTGAAGTAGTAGTATAAATTGCTTTCCTCAGACCCGGATTATCCTCTACCTTGTAAAATGCAGTGTTTAAATAGATGTAGGCACATATGAAATGTCAGTTTGATCTAAACAAATATGGACAAAGTTGGGTGATTTTGCTTAGTTAAATAGGAAGAATTGATTACTGATAGGCTTTTTAGACATCTAGAGAAAGTTTTGGCTAACTTGTAGGAAAAAAAATGCGATTATTGACTTTGTATCTAGATTACAGCAGCAAACTTGTCATAGCGTCTGTGTGGAACCAGTATTTCAGTAGTCTAATACTGCAAATTAAAAAAAATAAGGCTGGAAGTACAAGCTTCCGACTTGTTCAGTATTTCATGTACATGAGTAACTACACCAAGTAAAACTCTCTTTCTTTCCCTTCAGAGTTCACGATGACGAATGAAGAACCTCTCCCAAAGAAGGTATGTTTAAAAATACTTGTGACTTGCCCCCCGCCCCAGGTAATCATGACAGCTTGATAAGCTGTGCTTTTCCTTTTGCTCCGTAGGTTCGCCTTAGTGAAGCAGATTTTAAGGTTTTACCTAGAGACGAGCTCATCTTAAGGTAAAGTAAAGTAAAAAGCAGTTTTTCCATCTCAGCATTTTAGTGAACTTTTAATGGAAGACGTGTGGCCTTCCTCTTCCGTTATTTTTGGCATCCTTGCTCTGAAAAACTATTTTATCTTTTTCATGATACATGTCTTTTGGAAAGTTCTTATCTTGTCTCAAATATTTTTACATATTGTTTGGGGGAAACACTTTTTCCAAAGAGACAAAATCCTGATCAGTATTTTGTAATACGCGAGTAGGAGTTTTTTTTTCTTCGCATGTAACTTTAGAAGATATGGTTGCTTACATTCCTTGCTAGATAGCAGGTTGTTTTTAAACACCAGAAAAATGTCAACTCCTTACACCTACAGTAAGTTTTAGGTTTTCCCTGTCTGCGCAGTTGTCTTCTCAGCGTGTTCAGATATTAACAGTAAAATGTTAAAATTAAGTTTTTATCACCTAGAACTTACATAGAGAAGAGTCTGGCCATCTTTTTCACCTTTTAGAAAGCTAAGTGTCACCATGGAAAATACAATAGGCAATCCTGTCATGCAGACCACCTGCCTAAAAAAACAGACCCAAGCCACTTGTCTGAATTTCCTGATGTGTAAACAAGGAGCTAACTCAACTAGGCATCTGCGAGTCATTGCTTTATCTGCTAGAGTAAGTTTGTGTGTGCATTTTGGTAAGCTTTAGCTCTTGGCTTTTTGTACACTGTAAGTTATTAGCATTATTGGGGTCTCTGTAGTTAAATATTGCTACTTCTTAGAACAAAGACTAAACTGTGTAGAAACATGAGGATACAAGTGCAACACTTAAGGTATATGATCAGCTACTCCCTCTTCTGGGCAAACTATCCTGCCAGCTACTTCTAGGGTGACAACTGGCTCTAGGGGAGTCAACAGAGTCTGGCTTCGTATGTTTATAACTGATTTCTGGCCTCCTCCGAGTATATAGTCTTTTGGATAGTAAAGGATAATGTATTTAAACAGTATGAAAAAATGCTGTTTTGATGTTAAGTGGTTTAGGCCTTGTGAACCTTTTATAAAAGTTTCCATACTCACAATTATCCCCTGGAATAGTGAACTTCTAAGTCTGTAAAGCTGTCCCCTTACTTCCAGCTATAAAATTCCTGTCAAAGTATCAAAGCATATATTCTGTGCAACTTGCTTTCTTATCAATAGTGTGAAAACAAAACAAAAAAGCCTCCAACTGTAACCAGTTTCTGTAACTTGCAATGATTAATTGCTACCATAGAAGAGATCCATTTCCAGCATACGTTCAAGTGAGAATATGATGGAATACACCTAAGGAGGTGAAGTACGTCAGCAGCTCTAACTCTGTTAATGAGGAGACAGGAGGGGATTTGCTAATGACAGCTGTTTTGCTATTGAATCGTCTTCTTGGTGTAGACAAAGCAACTTCTGCTCCCAAAAATGCTGCTTAATTGATTTAAGGAGAATAACTGTCCATTATACCCAGAAGTGGGAACTTAAATGCTGTTTTGGCCACATGCGTTTTATTTGGTTACCTTAAGCAGTCCTGTGAAGACTGTTGTTTTTTCTTTGAATGTAGTGCATATTTAATGGATTTATAGTAAGTTCACTTTTAATTGTGATTTCACGTGAAACTAGCAGTTACTGCATTAACTCCTGGCTTCATTTGTAGGTTGGAATAATATGTGTATCATATTTTAATCAAAGGCATCTCTACTACTTTCAGACATGGAAAAGTGTGTGTTGACCACTACTGAGTTGTCTTAAATTAAGATTTAGAATGCATTTTTTTTTCTGGTCCATGCTTTGATGGAGCAAATGTTTTTTAAGATACAGGCACATTTAATCTGCTGTTGGTCTTTTAGGTAATACATCATCATTGCTGTACAATTGCGCTGATAAAATACGTATGTGGAAAATACTAGTTCCTTTTTGTCAGTTCCTGTGCCATGAATCACAATTTCACTGTTGTTTTCCACGAAGTACATCATTTAAGTTTGCTCATTTTAACTTCTTTTGACTAAATGTGAGCAGGATCAACAAGAAGTCTTTCAGTCTGGCATTTTGTGAGTTTCTGCCTGTCTCATTATTTGTTGCTGTGGTCTCATCTCCTTCATCTTTCCCCTCCCCTTTTTAATGCAGTAGTTCCTTAACTTGACTGTGCAGGAGCTTCTGTGAGGAAAGAACAGCCAGGAACACAATAACAAAGCATTCTGTGGATCATAGCAAAAAATTTGATCAGTATTGCTCTGTGGTGGTCTGTCATGCCTACTTAACTTGTGTTTCAGGTCATCATTTCACAGGCTGTATTATCGGGGGAAAGGGGAGTATCTGTCACGATTTTGACAGTATTATTGTTTTCAGGCTGTTGAAATGTAACTTAGAAATCAAGTAATCCTGCAGGTGTATTTGAAGACCAACTCTTATTTCATGTAAAAATTAAGTTCTTTTTTTCTGAGTTTGCTATTTAATAGACTGTTTCAGTTTCACTTTTGGGGGATTGAAATGTCCTGAACTAACATAGAACTTTCAGTGGTCAAACTGTGAAACTTTTGTTTCTAACGGTGTTCTTTTTAGAGAGAAAAGTTTAATGGTTAAATGGAAATGTATCTACTCTCTTCTACAGAGCTTAAGAGAGTTAATTCATGCTGGTTTCACATTCAGCTGAAGAGATGCAAAATTTTGTTGCTACTAGGAGGAAGAGATCTTGTGCTTACTTTTGCTTTTCCCAGTCATGTAATCTGACTTGCTGTTACAGATCTGATGCTTTTTAGACTCTTTAACGAGCTGTTTGAATTAACTAAATGGTCAAAAATGACCTAGAGTTAGATTTTAAAGTTTAGATTTGAGGTTGTGGTGGTGTGGATTAAGGAGTTAAAAAAAAGCAGTTATGGTGAGTCTGACATAAAAATAGGTGGCAGGGAGAAAGGGTGGTTGGGAGAAGGGAATGGAAACTTCCCCTTCTGTAGTGGTAAGCTGTTAGGTGAATTTGTTTCGTACTGGGGAATTGTACCATTGTGAGGAAGATACATAATTAGAAACAAAGTACTACTTTAAAAACAAACAAGAAACCCCAAAACACCATCCTGTGAACTTTGTTGGTAAGACACGTTGTGCTAAGTTTTACGGCAAACTTTATTTGCTTCTGATTTGACTGTTTGTATCAAATGCAATGCTGTTTTTAAGTGTGAGATTTTCTGACTGTGGATCAATTGTTTAAATAACATGCCTTCAAAGAGTTAGTAAACTGTTTGGCTTCTGGTTAATGAATATAATCAGACTATGGTGTTGGTTTGAATGAGCTGGTATAACTAAACCTAGACACTGAATTCTAGTGTATTGTAATATACTTCCACTGGTCTTGTTCACTGAGTAACAGACTTAATGTTGTCTTTGTATTATGGTTTCTGTTACAGAATTTTGTTTGAATTGTTCTGCTTTAAGAATGAGAGTTATCTGTGTAAAGTACCTCAGATACATAATAAGTGTTTGATCCCAATGTTTGTCTAAAATATTGCAGTAAATTTTAAGATGGCAATTTTAAGTGTTGTAACACACTTTTTATCCTTTTGAGATGGAAAGTGGATTTAACTATTTCCATGATTAAAAGCCCCTTTTTTAAAACTAGAATTGCCTCTTATGCAATTGTGTAGTTCCCTCTTGACGTTTTCTGATTATGATATAAATGTATACTCTGAAAGTTTAGGAGTGAGTTGCCTTAATTTAATAAACTGAGCTTCAGAAAAATCTTTCTTCTCTTTGTCTCTGCAATAGATGGAAACAGTATGAAGCATATGTGCAAGCTCTGGAGGGCAAGTACACAGACCTTAATTGTAAGTTAGCCAAGTTTCAAAATTTTATATGAGTTACCTGAATGTTTGTGTAAAGCAGAGTGTCCAAGTAATGTCTGTGCTTTCTAAAACTGTTAGAAATAAGAGATATAATAATCTATATGTCAGTTTTTTGTCAGAAAAAAGTCACTGTTTTATCTACTGTAAGTTTTCAGCCTTTCCCAACTTTCTCAGCCACTTATTTTCCTTTGCAGATCTTGCAGAGCACCTAAAAAGTCTATTTTTTGCATCTGTAGGACCATCTGTATCCAGATTGCTAGGAGAGGGGAAAAAAAAATAATCTCAAAACATAACCCCACAAATAGGTGTATTTTCAGGACTATTCTATGAGGAAGGAAATGTTATCCTCTACCAAAATACTCTGTGAATGTTTGTGCCTTCAGTAGTCTCACAGGGGATTGTGAGACTATTGGATTGTAAACCGCGTGGGAGGGGCAATAGTTTGGCAAAGGTCAAAAATGAGTCCCCAAGTAATGTTTGATCTGATTAGGCAAATTAGCTATTTGATTGTCAGTCTTACGTGATCTTTAAAACTTGGTCTGTACTTCAGTCTTTCAAAAGAGAATATGGGAAAAGCTGAATACATTCTGGAAGTGACTGAATTGCCAATCCTAAGTCATTCTTAAAAATTGTGTTGGTAGCTAGTGATAGAGTCTCCTGTTTTCGCTCACCTTTTCAGTCTAAGTACATAAAGATTTAGTACCGCTGAATTTGAAGGGTGGTTTTCTGTCAATCTGAACGGATGTCCTCTCTGTTTTCTCTGTTACATTCCTCTTCTACTGCCACTCCATAATGTTTGAGTTTTGGAGAGACTAAAATATGGCAAATGTAAGCAGTTGATTTCATTCTAATCTCAAACAGTCCTAACATAGGTAAATAAATAAGTTGTTTTAACATTCCCAGTTTATCAATTTTGGAAATTCTTAATACAGGCTGTAGTATTATGGAATTATCTGCAAAGAGTTGTTTGGAAATTATTGCCCGGAAGCGATTTGTGATGTTCTTAGTTTACATTTACAGCCAATCATTCTCAGATAATTAGAAAAAATAAAAATCTCAATTATTCCAACTTACCATCATTTTGTATGTGACAAGTAGCAGAGTGAATGTATATTGCTAGCACATGTTCCTGTTTGAGTGACTTAGAAATTGCTGTGTTGCCTTCTCTTGTATTTCATATATGAACTTTCATAAATGTTCATGATCAGAATAATTCTGGTTGTGACTGAACTGCCATTTCTGAATTCGTCAAATGTCTTACTGTTTACTCACGGAGTGTTGAGACCAGTTTGAGGATTGACCACAAATAATGCTGTTTTACAGACTGCTCGTTGCTTTTTGCCAGAGTGTAGACTTCCCTCTGCCCCCACCTGGCCTCAACATTTCATATAGATACCAGGACAGTTCCGACTTCCCGAGTTTCAGACTGCAAGTTGTAATAGTAGTTGGTTAAGCAAGCAATTTAAAATTTATTTCCTAAATAAACATGGAAACATTTTCAAAAGTTCAGTAAGTCTTAAGGAAGGATCAGAAAGGTGTATTTAAAACCAACTGTTGTCAAGCTTTTCTAATACTTAATGATATTGTGATTTTTCTTATGCTTATTATAGTCATACTTTTATTTATTTATCTCTTCTGTGGTTTATGAATTTGGTTTTCAGATTCTCTTAGCTGTCTTTAAAAACTGCTCGTGAGAGGATGCTATAAAACGTGTGCTTTTTGTGTTTTATTACTTGTATTAGCTAATGATGTGACGGGATTGAGAGAATCTGAAGAGAAGTTGAAACAGCAACAGCAAGAGTCTGCCCGAAGAGAAAATATTCTGGTGATGAGGCTGGCAACTAAGGAACAGGAGATGCAAGAGTGTACTGTAAGTATTTAGAGAGGATAAGTGTTACAGGGTATCAGCTTTTGAGCCAGTACCCGTGTGCTATGTTTTTCCTATACTTCTAGAGTCCCATTTTCTGTGCTTAAAGAAATGGCAGCGCACTTAAACTTTCACTGGATTAGTAAAGATAATTTCTTAAAGTTTGAGGTTTTTTTAATATTAGTTATTTCAGTTGATTTTTCAGCAGCAGTTGTGCTTGGAAGGATTTTTGCTTCGGAACCAAGCTAATTTTTGCATGAATCATGCCTACTTTCTTCTAGCATTTATCAACTGTGCGTATTTACCAAAAATATTACTTCTGACTGTCATTGGATGCAGAAACAAATTGAAACGTAAGGGTAAGATTGAGTTTACTGAGTTTCATTTAGGAGGTTTTAGGCCGATATTTACATTGGATTTGGATAACAAGGTATTTGTAAGCTTCTGCATCCATTTGGCTAGGTAGGGAAAAGAACTACGGGCTTTTTCAGAGGGGGTTGGAAATTTGGCAGATCTGTTTCTTGGAGTTTCTAACATTCTTTGTACCGAATACCTTCTTTGTTGTTGTTGTTTCTCTTTCTCTCTCCTTTATTTCTGTGGGTTTTCTGTGACTCTGTTTTCTTCTCTGTTTGGTTTTGGTTTCTTGAAACTATCTTCTGCTTTTGGACTTTTGATCTTTTTTGGATTGCCTTCTTAACATAATTTTCACCTCCTGTTTTAATTTGGCAGTTCCTGAGAGAAGATGATAAACAGCTTCTTATTGCTAGTTTGTGTAACATACTCCTGTGAGCTTCTCTTATGAAAAATACAAGCTCTGTGCAAAACTAATATCTAGTATTGTAGCTTTCCTCTATTATTTTCTTTTAGCCTTCCTTTCTTTTTTCCTGTAGATTCTCAGAGCTGTCAGGTATAGTAGTGTGACACTTAACTCTGTATACATTATTTTCACTGCTCTTAAGACCATAAGATGACTTTAGTTTGTGGTAAGCACTGGTTTGAAAATTAAAAATGAGAGGGTAGAGCTTACTTTGCAGTGGCAAAAAATGAATCACAGAATCATTGAGGTTAGAAGGGACTGTGCACTGTCAGGTTTTGAGCATCTCCTAGAATGGAGGCTCCAGAACCTCTCCAGGTGACCTGTGCCAGTGTTCAACCACCCTCACAGCAAAAAGCGTTCTCTTACGTTTAAATGGAATTTCTTATGTTTCAGTTTGTGCCCATTGCCTTCTGTGCTTTCAGTGGGCACCACTGGGAAGAGCTGGGCTCTGCGTTCTTTCCTCTCCCCATCAGGTATTTATGCACATTGATAAGATCCCCTGGAGCCTTCTCTTCTCCTTGCTGAACAGCCTTAGCGCTCTCAGCCTCTGCTTGTATGTCAGATGCTCCAAGCCCTTGATCATCTTCATGGCCCTTTGTTGGCCTCACCCTAATATGTCCATGTCTCTCTTGTACCGGGGAGCCCAGAACTGGACCCAGTGCCGAGTGGAGAGGAAGGATCACCTCCCTCATCCTGTTGGCAGCACTCCTCCTAATGCAGCGCAGGATGCTAATGAAGATCTGTTCTGGTACTATACTGTGATATTTCCCTAGTAGTAAGACTACTATATTGGTCCTGCTTCTCTTTTTAGTTTTACTGATAAATTCTGCTGTGAGGAACAGCGGTAATAAGAAGGTGTTTTTTTTTTTTTTCTTTTGAACTTCTGAGCATATAGCTGGAACAATAAATGCTAAAAAAATAAAAAGAAATGTAAGTTTGTCACCAAAACCAAATTTGTGTGTACTATTACCACCTTTCTTCCTCCCTGTTCCTAAAAGAATGAGTTAGACAAAAAATTCAAGTATTTAAGACTCTGAATTTTGACACGATCATGAAGACTGTAGGATTTTTGGCTGCACTTTGTTAAAGATGTTTATAGCTGTGATGCATAGGCTTTCCCAAACTTCTGCTTAGAAGAACTTCTGAAGAGCTTTCCTTAATTTCAGTGTCTAAAAAAAAAAGGAAGGGGAGAGGGGGGCAAAAAAGAAACAAAACCAAACACCACCACTGCCAAGCAGCTTATATTTTTCCAGGTATTAACACATGAATAACATAAAGGATGTAATCTCCTCCATAGTGCATGGAGGAAGGAAGATGCATCCTTGAAGAAGACGGGTAAAAGCGGTAATGGAGACACTGGCACCTTAAAATGTTTTCAAGTTTAAAAGCACATAGTTTCAAGAAGTTCTGGAGGACTACTTGGCTTTCTATTACTAGATACTATTTTTCCAGTAAAGTAACAGTAGCAAAATAAATGATGATTGATGAGATGTAAAGCTAAACTATAGGTTGCTAAATCATTCCATAAATGAACAAAAGCTATTCATCATATGATGTTATTTGACATGTCTAATTTTCAGTCCATAAAATAACTTTCCTTTACTTCTACATAGTTAACCATGTTTTATAATCCATATTTACATGTAAAATATACTAGTGACAGTTACTTACATGTAAGCCTTTAAGTTTCCTATCACATCTTAATTAGAAAGACTGAGCATCTATGGTGTCAAGTTTCTTGAAAACTAGATGAATATAATTTAATACTGGTTGTTCATATTATTCTTAATGTATTTTCGGGACATGTTTTATACTTGCAAACTTACTATATTCAAGTTTTGCAAATTTAAATGGATAAAAACTTAGAAATACCATACCATATTCTAATGGTAGTAGTTGGCAAAGACATGTGAGTTTTCTGATTACTGATGTGTAAACACTTTGCTAGTTAAAATATATGACCTCTGTTTTAAGTAAGGTGTAATAGACTTTGTCTTAGTTGCTGTTTTAATTTGTACCCTTCTTTTAAAAAGATAAAACACACCAAAACCTACTTCAGCTTATAAAAGTCATCAGTCATCTTCCTGAAGTATAGGTGTGCATGTCAGAGTAGCAGTAGCAGAGTCATTGTCCTGGTTCAGTCTGTTTCGGTGCTCTTTTTGAAGAAACAAGATGGTGGTTGAGTATATAGCTCCATTCTCTCTCATGCTCTGTGCCGAGTCTAGCAGCAGAATATGTGGGCTTGGAGCTTACTGAGAGTCTGACTGGTGTTGCAAACTTACTCTGGATAATTTAGGGTGGCTTAACTAAAGGCCTAGATTGAAACTGAGCTGTTTAATACCTCATGTGCCCTGTTATCAGCAGCAGCCTTGAGCTACCTTCCCCCTAGCAGGAACAACACTCTGAAAGTGGTTGCTGCTGTTAGGGAAGTGTGGGTAAAGTATTGGCTACTGTTTCTACATAAAGCTTTATTTCTGGCAGAGGTGGTGATGATGTTACTGCTACTTCAGGGAGAGGCCTTAACGCCCTCCCAAGCTACCGCACAGCTACTGTAGCTCAGAAGCGGACAGGCATTTAGAAGTATTTGCTAGTGAAATAAGTTTTCCATGGAACAGACAGATAACAATGAGTGGAAGCTTCCTGTGCAGTTGGACTATAGTACCTAGATAGCCATTGCTCTTAATAACCTGCTTGTGGTTTAGGTTACAGCTCTGTTGTGTTTTTTCTCCTGTTCATTATGCAGTTTCTTCCTTCTTGCTCCTTCCTTATAAGAAGGATATATAGTTGTGCTTACTTAGATTGCTTACGTTTTCTGTTAAGCACCTGTGTTCTGTTTTGTTAAATTCTTCCTGCTGGAGGATCTGTTCTTTGTGGATATCTGTGGACAACTTCAGATGAAAGGATTCAGCTGTTTCCAAGAACATGGAGAAGCAGAGGGGTTGAAAAATGTTATTGTTTATCTTAACAACAATAAAAAAAAAAATCCACCCAAACAAAACCCCACACAGCCTAATGTCCTCTAAATAGACTGCTTTCAGTGTTCTGCCTTGGGTTAGAGCAGAGAGAAAGCTCATACCAAGGTTTTTATTCAGTTTGTGAAAATTCATCCCTATTTGTCATCTGATGAGCTTTTGAAAAATACCAGTTAGTGTGTGCTTTCATGTTTGGGAATATGAACAGCCAGTAAACCTTTCAGGTGTTAGAGCAGGGATGTCCTGGGGTCTGGTGTTGGACGGGACTGTTCCTGTGTATTCAGCTGTGGCCTGAATGCAAGCACAGTCTTCTGCTCCCCACCTCTTACCACCTGGAATATCAGCGAGAGGAGAGACATACCAGAGAGTGGCTAGAAGGAGCAAGGGTGGGAGGTTTGGAGTGGCTAAGCTGGAAGATGAATGGCATAAGGAGGTAGGCAGAAGGGTTAAGAGCTTGCTTTGGGAGTGGGTTGTATTGGGGAGAGGTTGCTAGGTCAGGGTGGATGAAAAGCCTGATGGTTGAGTACTCTGGAGTGACAACTGGAGAAAGCACTTGTGGAGGGATGGAGAAAATTTGAGTTGGAAAAACTGGAGGAATAAATGGTCTTTAAGTTTGGGGAGGGAATGGAAAAACAGCTCAAGTAAGTAAATTCTTTCTACACTGCTGTTTAAGGAATGACAGCTGAGGTCTTAGGTAGAACCTATGCAAGTGCTCTCTGCTTGGCCTAGGAGCATGAGCTAGAGATACCCAAATGAGATTAGATTGTTAAATAACTGACATTGAACAGAATCAGGTGGGTCCTCATGGGTGTTTTAGTGCATTTCTGGGCTGTGTGAGGAGCAGGTGGCAGCAATTCTTTGTGCTACTGATCTAGGAGCAGGAGCTAGAGATACCCAAATGAGATTGTTAAATAACTGACATTGAACAGAATCAGGTGGGTCCTCATGGGTGTTTTAGTGCATTTCTGGGCTGTGTGAGGAGCAGGTGGCAGCAATTCTTTGTGCTACTGATGCAAGGAATCTGTTACAGTTCTTAGGCTGGCAGTAAAAGAGGGAGGGAGCTGTGCCTAGGTAAGACAAGGAATGTGGTCTGTTGTGGTTTTTTTTTTTTCCCCTCAATGGTGCCTGTCTAAAAATAGGATGGGAACCACGTTGCTGTAGCATAATTATATTCATGGAATCTGTTGCCAGCTGTAGTGTCTGTATGTGTGCAGACATCTGTTAAACTAGCTGTTTTACCCTCTACTAGTGCTAGCCCTCACAGAGAATTGACAGGTTGTTGAAAAACTTCCAGTAGTGCAAGTGTCAGAAAGTTGAGCGGGTAGAAAAGATATAGCAATAGCAATAAATTAAATAGATCTTTATTCAGTGAGGAACGTTTTGTTCGTTCAGTCAGGCAAAGGACCTGTAAATACCATCCAGGAAATGTTAGGATAATCTTAATTTGAATTTCCTGTTTCTGAGTAATGTTTGTAGATAGGTTCTCGAGAGCTTTATTTCTTGAAAATATTTTTATGCAGTGCTTTATTCCCGTTATGTTTCTTTCTAGACACGTAAAAGTTTGTCTATTTAGAATGTAAAGTATGATGGTTATTTCAAATTTTTTAGGTAAGTAGCTAAATATTTTTATTTTGGTAACATCAAATTAATATGAAGTCAATGGAAATATTTCAGTTATTGAAATAACTTTGAAATCACTTATTTGAAGTGAAATCCAAGAATTGTTGCTACTTAACAAGATATAAATGAAAACATATATTGTCCTCAATCAAGAAGTGATTGAGGTCAGTACTACATATTTTTAAGGTAAATAAAATGCTTGTACTTACGCTTTCTGTTCGCCATTGCTGTGTAAAGATCCCATAACAGAGTAACTGTATATACAGGAAATGGTTAAACTGACAGTGGTTTTCACTGTGCTGCTTGTCCCAAGTAAAGCAAAGTGTGGAGGGAGACTTTACCTGCATTTTGCTGCTGATGCCTTGTACTGTTTGTCAGTGAAACTCTGTTGCTATCAAGCCTGGTTGCAAGATTGTCTGTGCAGCAGGAGGCAAATCCCCAGACTTTCAATTACTGTTTCTTTTTCAATCTTGTGTAATTTTGTTCATCTCTTGCTGATGAAGAAATGTGTGTGAGACAGGGAGCATAATAAATTGAGCTTAAGAATGAACACTCTGTGTAGGCTGATGTGAATTTAGTGATTAGCTAGATTCTAAACACGTACTGTTCAGTACATTTTAAAATTGTCTTGTTGTGATGGGATTAAAATACAAGAAACTTTCAAAACGTTAATCCTATTTAAATACATACGAGTTTTGACTAATAAATGATATATTTAAAAGAAATCCTCTCACAGTTACTCCTGAAATTTTGACTGTATTGTAAGTCTTCTGGGTTATATATTAGAAAATTTTAAGTCTTTTGGGTTGTGGTTATTGCAAGAGCATCAAATCCAACCAAAATCTGTTTAATTGATGTTAGTATTTCTAAATTACTTTGTTTAAAGAATAAATATGGAAACTTGCATCATGAGTGACTATCACATTTGTAAAAAACCTTAGAAGTTTGTAAAAACCTTTTTAGTAGTTGCTTAAAAATATTACTTGTCAATATTAGCTGTAATGTTCCATAACAACTTTCACTGGAGTTACATGGAAATTAGCTATCTGTTTTAAGCAGATAACTCTTTGTATATGTAGTTTTTTTCCTCAAAAGAGTGCAGGCAGATATAAAAGGAAGGGAGCATTCTAATGCTCCAGTCATTCCTTTGGCAAATGTAAACTGACGTTTACATTTACAAGAAAACAATTTAAAGCAGAGAGAGGAGGAAAAAAAAGAATGGCCATGAAAGTTTAAGCTTGGCAGGTGGTGGGATGGGGGATTAGGTGAGTATGCACATTGATAGGGTGCAGGTAGACAAAAGCGATTTTTATCCTGCCTTTTTCAGGTTACAGTGTTGAAACAAGGCAAGCTTCCTTGATGTTATCTTTGGAATAACTAATTTTATTTGTATCTAAATGACTTCAAAATTTTATTTAGTGTTGTATGAGTAACAGTCTTTTTTCTTATTTCATGCAGAATCAGATTCAGTACCTCAAGCAAGTCCAGCAGCCTAGTGTTGCCCAACTGCGATCAACAATGGTGGACCCAGCCATCAACTTGTTTTTCCTAAAAATGAAAGGTGAACTGGAACAGACTAAAGACAAACTGGAACAAGCCCAAAATGAACTGAGTGCCTGGAAATTTACGCCTGATAGGTAAACAAAACAAATACTCCCCAGTCAAGACTTCCCTGACAGTCCCACTACGAGAATGCTATGGTGGGACAGCCAAGTACTCGTTTCCACACCAAGACTCAGACGTTTTGAGGCAAAAGCCACATTCTTATACTGTCCAGCTTGTAATGCTTAATGTAAAACTTACCAGATGAACCTTGTGTTTCAGCTTTTTTCTCCCCCTTTGCTTCAGAGGCCTGACGGCGTCGGACTATTCTGAAGAAATGGCCATCTTCGAAAAAAAATCTTTTCTAGAACATGTAGACATTTGCAAAATTGTTCTATTTGAAGAAAATAGAGGGAGAAACAGAAGTCTTAAGTCTGTGGCACACTGTGTCTACAGACAGTTTGGAGGAGAGAGAACCTAGAGATTATAAATCATGAATTGAACATGTAAAATTCCCGTAAAATGTAGAAGTGGAATATGCTTCGCTCTTAACCTTGAGCCTAGTGACGTAGAGACACTGTAAGTCAGTTTTGCCAATAAGACTGTGGACTTCCTGCTTGTTCACTGAACTGCTGGGTCAAAACTCAATGAGGTGAATTTTGCGTTAAAGAGTTTACTTGCTAACCAGTTTTGAATAGCCATGAGAGTGCTATTTGGTGTCACAACAGTGGTAGTGTACACATTTGACTGTTTAGCCTTTGGGCTCTCTAGCACTTGATGGAGCCTTAAGTCAATGTTGCTAAATAATGAACTGTTTTCTGGATGGTTGGTAATACCGTGGACGCCTCAAAACTAGGACTGTACGAAAATGTACGTTCTATCTAATTGCAGGTTTAAAACTGTTGGAAGCAATATATATTTGATCACAACTGGCGTGTATAAGAAAAACTGGTTGTGATAAGTATTTCACTGCATGTTTTCATGCAGAAATGAGAATTTTTCGATCTACACTAAGAACCGATCTCAAATGCTCAGTACAGAAGGCACACAATGGCAACTGTCTTCAGTGTTGGTGGGGTGTTTTTATTCCTTTGTACACCTGTTTTTTTTTTTTGTATTGCACTTCTATATAAAATGTGCCTTGAAATAGTTGTAATATATAGTTCAAGGAACACTACTGGTTATACTGTTGTATTGTGAAACTCCTGGGATGAACGAGAATTGAACAGGTTGTTATTTCTGCATTGTCTCGTTCTCTGAAAACAAAGTCAGTATTTTAAACGAAAAAGCCTTAAATGCATGCATTTTCCTTGGTGGAATCAGTGAAGGAGCCTTTGCTACTTTATTGCCTCTGTTCTGTTGTCCCAAGTTACTTGTAAGAGTAGCGATCCGGGACAGTTGGAGTGCATGTCTGAGGTGTGTAAAGCGAAATGCAGATTTGGTATAGCATTTATGTGTTTGGTTTTTTCCTTAGTGAATTGAGTTCCATTTAGTAATCCGAGGTTTTGATTTTCAAAACAGTTGGGCAACGTTTTATAACTCGGTCTGATCCTAGAAAATTCAGTTTTAAATTAAAAAAAAAGACATCCAACTGTCACAGAAGGTGATGTATTCTAACTGTTTTGATGACTTTTATTAAGATGGCATTACGTATTTTTAACTCAGAAGTATCTTAACTGTTTGTGCTTCAGATGATTATTATGGGATCAGAGAGTAGTATACTTATGCAGGTTTATTTTTTTTTTGCATGAGTAATGACTTAACAGCAAAAGAAAAACCTACAGGAAAAACTTTACCTTTTTAAAAGTGATACATCTGGAATGATTTTGCTATAGCGGTATCTAAGATTTTAATGATCTAGCATCAAAACAGAGGTAAGACTTGCATTAATAAATTGTTAACGTGTTACCAAGCCATTTATAAAGCTCACTATAATGTGCGGATAGAGGCACGCCGTGCAGGTTACTTGCTTAACTTGGAGTTCAGAAAATTAGTTAATACATTTAGATACAGGTTGGTTGTTTTCTTAAGTCCTCAGGCTCTAAGTGTGTGTGTACAACTGAGGAGAGACGAGTAACTTACTGCTTTCTTTAAAGCAAAAGTATCAAAAGAAAATTTTGTTCTTTCTGTGGCTATAACATACCCTAATATGCATCATATAATTATAAGTCAGTGGTGTGAATGCGCATCATTCATATATGCAGTAGCTGGAATACAGAAAATTAGAGTTATTTCCTGGTAAATAATTGAGGCTGTCTTCGTTAACTGGGTTAAGATTTTACTGATTTTTATTTCTGGAAAGGTAAAGAAATGATAACTCATGTAAAGTATTTATAGGATTTTGTCATTCTCTTTGCATCCTGCACCCCCCCCCTCCCTTTGAATTGCTTTGATTGTCCACCTTTGTATTCAACTACTCCTACTTCATGGCATCTGACTTAGTTTTTGAAAGAGATAATGCTCCTATTCAGATTCATAACCGATGTTCTTAGCGTAACATGTTAACAGCAACCCTAGGCGGTGTCAGTTCTGGGCCTTGGCCATAGGTAGGGTGTACGGCGTAATCATTGCTGATACCTGGAGGGATAAATAAAAGGGCATGTAATCAAAGGAATGGTCATGCTAAGCCACTTGAACTGTCATTAAGCATAGAGTATACACTTGAATTAAAAATTAGTAGAAATGTCATTTGCAGTGAGTCTAGTACAACAAACACTAGTCTTCTGAAATTTAACCACTTACATTCTTACAGGTTTTGTTGCATGTATGTTCAAGAGGATTTGTGAAAACAATGCCAAACTTAGTTTTACGGCTAATTGGAGTTATTTTAAGTTACTGGATTTGATATTCTTGCATGTGCTGCCTTTTTTTGTAAATTGCAAGGAAAGGTTACTTGGTGCCGTACTAGTTCAGGACATCTGGGAAAATTTTGATGGGAAGAAATAGCATTATAGGTAACTATGCAAATTTCTATACAGGTAATAAATACTTTACATTTTGGCAGGAGTTAACATGAAGAAATTAATGGGATTCTAAAATTGTCCCCATTCCAAGGTAACTGGTACTTGCTAATTCTACAGTTGACGTTGTTTTGTGAAGAGAAAAGCATTAAATGACTTAAGCACTGTGAACTTCTTCAACTTGCGGTGATGATGAATACAGTAACAGGAACTTGCAAATGGCTAAAAATCATTGCATGTCTGCCTAATAACTTTTGGGATATGTCACATTGGTTATCTCCAAAGTGGTCCTGCTTTGCACAGAATGAACATCTCTAAGAAAACTTGCATCCTAACTGTGCGACTTGAACTGTATTAGGTCAGCACAATTTAAACTTCAAGGACCTGGCATTGGACATCTCATCAAGAAAGAAAACAGGTTGCTGCCTTTAGCAGTTTCAGGCTTCCAGGACTTTACACAGCCAGATTCCTTCTGGAGCAGCCCATCTGAAAGATTTGGGAGAGTCAGTCGGAAAATGTTAAATGGGGCAGAGTTGGCAGAACTTAAAAGTTGTCTAAGGCTTGAACGCTTAAAAGGTAGTTGATAAGGAAATTATTATTTTAAATTCTTTTGGTTGGGTACTTTGGTTGCAGGAGAGAACCGCGGCTGTGAACTGTAGCAGAAATTTCCTGTTCTACTTTTTTAATCCTCAAAATTTATTTCAACCTTTGTCACTTGTTTAAAAGCAAACAAAAAATTAAATGACCTTCTTGGTCTTGAAAAGTAATGCAAGTCCTGCCATTGAATTAACAATAAACCTGTTCAAGTTCAGGTTGCCTTTTTAAAATTTTTTTTTTTGGCAGGGGGGGGGGAGGCAGAGCTTTCACTCCTCTAGAAAAGAGGACGGCTTCATTATGTTACTGAGCCTATTACAAGAAGAACTGTTTGTGGTTGCTGTCCTGACTTTGGCAGACCAAGAGTCTTAAAGGACTTCAATTTTTCTCTTTTATGGCGTCAGCTGTATTGCCTATATATTAATTTGCATACTACTTCCTATAATGCTTTACAATGCAATTTTTACCATGAAGATTAAAGATGTGTGATGTTACCCATTTAGTAAAGAAAATCTTGTCAGTTCAAAATACTTTTTCCTGCCTGTTGCCCATTTCTTTCAGAAACTAGACGTCCTAATGATAATTACGCATGATCTGAAATCTGTCATTCTAAAGGAAGCAAATTAATTTAACTCCTTTCTTAATCTGCCAATTTTTAGCTACATTTTACTTTCTTTCTCCCCTCCATGCAAGATGTGCTTAGGAAAGGCTGACCATAGAAATTATGAAACAGACTATGTACTTTACTGCCAAATACATAAATTGAGTTGAAACATAGACATCTAATTTTCTAAATGAGTACATGGACAGCATTCAGAAGAATGTCTAAGCCTCTTAAAGGAAAATGGTTGTCACTATGAAAAACGAACATGGGATTTAATATTTCCCCCAAGCAACTTTCTTCTCTTCACCCAAATTTAATTATTAAATTTTACTAATACAGTAAATGAAGGTTTTTGTTTACATGTGTAAACTGAATTATAATTCTTGTGCAGTTACTTGATCTTTTGAATTACAAGGCACATCTTTAATCAAATACTTAACTCCATTGAGAATTAGCACATGCAAGATTGTGCATACTGATAATCCAGATGTTGGTATCAAAAAAAGAACAATATGCTTATTCGTATTTGCAGTAATAAAACTTGCCTTCCACTTTATGGGACAGCGGCAGAAGATCAACTGGCACTGGAACAGCATGTGGTAACTATAGGGAGACTTTCTGCTATGACAATTATGTTGAGGCATAATGTTCCTTGAATTGTGACATGCAGAAATTGCATCTCCTTTTTGTCTGTAAATGTGATCGAGGAAGATTACTGAAGGTTTTATATTCATTTTGTGATAGATGGCTCTTTCCTTTGCAGCCAAACAGGCAAAAAGTTAATGGCGAAGTGTCGAATGCTTATCCAGGAGAATCAAGAGCTTGGAAGGCAGCTGTCCCAAGGACGTATTGCACAGCTTGAGGCAGAGTTGGCTTTACAGAAGAAATATAGTGAGGAACTTAAAAGCAGTCAGGATGGTAAGGGGTTTTTTTAAGAAAATGGAAGTTGCCTTGCACTTCTGCTAGTTTAATTTCCTGACGATACACATACTGTAAAACCATCTTTGCTAGAATGAAAGGGCAATATTGAGTAAAATATGTCAATTGTAAGTCTTCACCGATAGTCTTAATTTAAAACCAAACGAACTTAACTTTGGGGGACTGGTGGGATTTGGAGCTCCAGTAATGCAGCATTTGCATTTGAACTTCCCAGGTTTTGTACTGTAAGTCTTGCTGTTTAATAGGGAATGTTGAGACTGCATGCATTATTGGTGAATTGGTAAGGTGAAAGCTGTTAATGTTGCATGAAGCTAAGCATGCACTGAGAACAGAATGCTTCTTGTTGACTGACTCATTTTGAAATTATTTTTTAAAAATCAACTTTTTAACAATGCCAAAGAATAAGAAAAAGAGTTTTGTGGGGTTTTTCTGTGTTTAGGTAACTCAGATGAGCTAAAATATCTTGTTACTGTATTCACAGTCCAAACTTTACAGCATTGTAAACCTAAGTTGAAATTTCTTATAAACTCTGACCTCTTGCATAATTTAAATGGAGGGGAAAATGCAACTTTAAAAAATCTTCAGTTGAGAGTTCTGCATAGAATCAGTGGGGTTTTTTGGTAGAATGTTAGAGTAGGTTATCTGATTATTACAGTCAGTCTAGGGACATGAGCTCTTTAAACATCACATAAACCTGGATATGTTTTTGTTTTACAACTGAGGTCTGTAAGATAGCATAGACTTGATTTGGCATTATCTAAATCAGACATATCCTGTGTTTTTAAGGATAGATTTTCCTCCCCCATAGGATCATATTTTTGAGAAAGTAGCACTATAACATAGTATGTAGTCACTAGAGTTCGTAAGGTAAATGATTCTTTATGTAATGACATGTTGTTGGAAATAGTTACCCTTTTGCTGCTTAACTAATATTTAGATGATGCACATCATCTAAATCTGTCAAATTTGTAATGGAAGCAAGCGTGGACATGCTTTAAAGATTTCTGCTCTTGAATGCAGTATAGTGAAGTAAGCTCCAGACTGAGATGTGTTCTTTAGCCCCTATCGCTTCTTCCTCGTATGAACAAAGATGATAATAATCCTGCAATAGCAGTTTTCCTAGTGGTTTTTTTTCCATAGCAGCAAGAAGACTTTTCTGAATTTTTACAATAATAAGCAGTTTGCATTTTATTTGCTCTGCCATATCAATGGTGCAGTTGAATTGAAGACTAAGGGGGAGTCAGTGTTTCTTTTACTGTTTTCAGGTCAAATTTGTTTTGCTCCAAAATGCAGTCCTAATTGTAAAATCCTTTTCTTGGTACATAAGTACTAAAATACTCTGTGGAATTAGTTAATGGTTTTGTTGGTATGAAAGTCTTTTAGTGTCCTGTTATGCAGGATTTAAACGATTAAAAACAGTAAGAGCTGAAACTTCCTTGAAATGTGACAAATTTTTTTTGTGTCACCAAATAGGCTTTTGTAATTGCTCAGATATATTACATACAGATGTGGTTCATGGTCACTCTTACAGTATTTCTGCTAAGGTTGTATACTTGAGTAAAACTAGATACACGAGGAAGTACTTGCAGAATGCTAATTGTTTGAATTGAGCTGATTTCCAAATACCCTCCTTTCTTGCCCAGAAGCTCATTTCTTCTCATATATTCTGAGTAGCAGTATAAAAAGTATGTAGATGATAGTCAAGCATTTCCTCCCTCCTTCAGAGGCAGAGTATCAAAACCAGTCCAGACCTAATGGCTGAAAAAGAGTCTGTTGAGTGATAGGGTCTTAATTTTTTTTGTGTCTGAGATTCAAGCTATATATGGGCTATTAAGTATTTGCAACAAATGTGTTTTCTTTATATAGAATTGAATGACTTCATCATCCAGCTTGATGAGGAGGTAGAGGGTATGCAGAGTACCATTCTAGTTCTTCAGCAGCAGTTGAAGGAGACTCGCCAGCAGTTGGCTCAGTACCAGCAGCAGCAGTCCCAGGCCTCCAACCCAGGTACCAGCAGGACTCCATCTTCTGAGCCTACAGACCAGGGAGAGGCTGTGGGTAAAGACTGCAGCCGTCTGGCGAACGGACCAAGCAATGGTAGCTCCTCCCATCAGCGGACGTCTGGGCCTGGATTTTATAGGGAGGGTAGCGGCACGGAAGATGACTTCCCAGCTTCTCCAGGGAATGGTAATAAGCTGTCCAACCACTCTGAAGATAGAACTGGTAGAGGAAGTGGTAGCTACATAAACCAACTCAGTACTGGGTATGAAAGTGTAGACTCTCCCACTGGCAGTGAAAACTCTCTCACTCACCACTCAAATGACACAGACTCCAATCATGATCCTCAAGAGGAGAAAACAATGAGCATGAAAGGTAACAGAACTGTGGGTTCTCGTCATGTCCAGAATGGTTTGGACTCCACTGTAAATGTGCAGGGTTCAGTTTTGTAACATTTTTCTGCAACATTTTTATACAGTGTCATTTAAATTGGGAGAGGATACTGTCCAGAAGCTGTTTAAGTTAGTGCATACTTGTCACAATTTTGCCTTTTTGTGGGTTTTCTTTTTGCTTCAATACCTCTGCCACTTTGGAAATTTTAACAGTTAATTACGTTGAATGTTGCTAAAAGGACGTTTGTGTAGCTCAAGTTATTTTTATATGAGTTAATGTGAAGTTGAAATGGAAATTATTTCCATAAAATATAACATAAATGATGTCTGTACAAATCTGTGTATATCTAGAACCTGTGCTGTGTAAGGGCATTCTTACTCATACTGTTATACTTACACCACGTTCAAGATTTGTCATAATAGCTGTGGGTTTATGACTGCCAAGTTTGCCCAGTACAGTAGTTTTATCACTAAAAGATGGACTTACTGAAAGAGTCCTGTAGTGGTTTCAGTGTTAATTACAGTTTTTCCCACCATACATCTGTGCATTTTCTCCTTAGGTGACCGAATGTTTATGAATTGTGTGCATAGTTACTCAGTTTTTAAGAACTGTTGTATCCTGTTTATGCATATTGCTCTGTGACTCCAATATTATCTTACCTGTACTGACCAAACCTAAATAAAAACTTTTAATAATGTAATTTCCTCATTGTTCTGCATTGGCTTACATGGTGTATTTCTATGCAGTCTATTTGCAGTACTTGCTTTTCTAATTGAATTTGTTCCTGTGTCAGTCTGATACAGCTTATGCCAAATACCTGAAGCTACAGGTGTGTACTATTGTAGTAATTTCAGGCCAGCCTGATAGTGCTTACTCTACAGGTTTTGTCCTTACTGACAGATAGAGAAAAACAAAAAAAGAAAAGGAGAAGGTTAATAAAACTAAACCGTAAACCTTAGAGTTGGAACGTGGCTTTTATAAAGATTAAAAAAAAATGCCAAAAACCTAGTCATATCAAACAGGTAAATATACAAATTAAACTGCAAATGTTTAAGGAGTTAGTAATTCAGCTTCTTAAACCAGATAGAACTCCTATGGTTTTTAAATGCCTAGCTGAGGGAACTGACTTCTTAACAGGTGTAGAGAATGAAAAAATTACTTTTAATTAAGCATACTTTTGTTGTTCAGTAGCAGTGAGTTAAGACTTTCTCAGAACCTGAATTTCTGGTGGTTATTTTCTATCTACTAGTTTAGTGATGGTAGCATATAAGCAAGGAGATGAAAAAGCACTGGCTTTTAAGCACTGTTTGAAGGGAAGATGAAAGTACTTGGTATACTTTTGGGTTGACTTAAGTCCAGTTTCAACATTTTTCTACCTGTGAATCTTTTAATTACTAGGTGACTAATAAAATTATCTCATGTGTAGCCACTAAAACAAATAGCTTTGCAATTCATTGTGGAAACAGTGAGGCTCTTGTTTGAAAGCAGTAATTCTCCAAAGTTCCTGGGCATACTTGAATGTTTCAAATTTACACAGTTCTAATAAATTACTAGATTATAGAAGGGTTTCTGTGGTACCATTTTTAAGGGGCATATTATATGAGAATTAGGATCTGCAGTAGTATTGTCCAAGAGAAATGGATGTAATTAAAGTACTACTAGCTGCTCTCATCTGTGTTAGAGACATGCTAGTCCCTGTACCACTGCTACTTTAATTTCTTAAGGTTCACTTAAATGTATTAAAACCACTCAGTAGCTGGCACTGGAAGCATATGTTCCACTGGTGATACCTGGTTGGTTTTGGAACATTACTTTAGCCCTCGTTGCCTGAAAAATAGCAGTTACTGGTTGAATGTGTGAAAGGGAAGTGACAGGTATCTATACAAAATGACCAGCATCTGGCATCCAAAGTAATTTCTAGTTTACAAAAAGCCCTGATGGTGATCTAGATGTGTAGTTGCTGGTGATTTATGTTTGGTCTTAGTATCGTATTGCTTGATTATCCATAGCATGTGTATATGTACATCCCAGATCCTGTACATGGTAGAATGTAATATTTGTAAGAAGCTTAAAATGCTGATACTAGATTATAACAATGGTTTTATCTGATAATAGGTGGTAAAAAGCCTTGTGGGGAAATCTGTGGTCGTGGTTTAAATATCAGTCTGAAATATGAAAGCAACTCATGCCCAGAAAATGGTAGACATTATTCACCTAGTATAAGCAATTTAGAAGGATATAAAATATCTTTGGAGTTACAGTAATTGCTATTAATTGTGCTAAGGTTAAAAAAAATGCATAGCTTTCAGGTGGTGACAGCTTGCTACTTAAATCTGTCAGTTACTGTAGGATATTCATGTCTTAAAACCTCATAGAAAGATGATTTTAATTTTCTGAAAAGTGTGTGGTACTTAGGTTTTAAATAGTAAAAATTTAAAGCTTAGCTAACGAGCTGAAAAAATTAGAAATACAAATTATACCCTCAGACTAGAAGTTACCTCAACTTGTTGAAGGAAAATAATTGTAAGGCAAGGTAAGTCATTCCCTGCATAGAGGGTATCTTCTGAATAAGCAGGCTGGGTGTTTTTTTTTTTTTTGTCAAACTGAAAGCAACCCAGCAACTGCACCAGTTAATAACAAAATGCGTCATATAATTTACTTGCTTTCATGGAATGCTTATTGCAAAGCATTAGTGAATTGCAGTATAATAATACATACAGAAATGCTAAAACCTGTAATATTCATGTTCTTGCCTGGCTGTCAATGCTTATAATATGACATTTAACAATCCTGAATGTAGAGGGTTCATTTTAACAAAGGATGACATCGATCACCAATAAATACAGCATACTCTTTAAAATTAGATACTGCCTAAATCTTCTTGTATATATTTTCAGCCTTCAGGGGGAAATCTTGTTTTTGAGCCTACTGTTGATTTTGGACAATTCACCTTTTACCATATCGATAAAGCAGTTATTTCGTGGCTCAGATTTCCCGAGAGTACTGCTGGCTGATGGGTGAAACTAAATTAACGTGATTTCCTAGGGTTTGTCAAGAAGCAGCGGGACGGGGACACACTCCTGGACTGCGCCTCGCAGTGGGCTGAGATTCCCTGCGTGGGTGTCCCCAGGGGGATTTTGCAGCAATTTCTAAGATAAGGTAATTTATTTTCAACAAAGTTCAGACCTAACCCCCACTGAATTTTTGTACCTTGTTTTTATAGTCTGATAAATGTGGGTTCTGTAAGATCATAAAATACATGTGTTTATTTAAAAAGACAAAACCCCCAAAAATGGGGGATTTGTGGTAGCAGAGGTCATTTCCAGACAACTCAAATTTCACCTAATGTTTATCTTTTCTGCAGAGTGCCTCCTGACTCTGAGGTAAGAGTTCCCCTCACTGACCTTTCTGGAGAACCAGTTTTTAATGGGTCTTTGAACTCACTTGCACTAACTGTACCGATTATTTTATCTGACGGCGTTAAGGAACCCGAATGAAGGGTTGTGATCAGCACTAAAGGCTGCTGAATTGCTACCAGAAGGAAAACAGACGAAACAAGGTACGCACAAAAATGAGGAAAAGAACAGAAATGAACCGAAAAAAGTAAGTCGTAGACAAAATAGCTGAACAGGTATTTGTAAGCGCTGCTAGTCCTGTCAGTAAACTGACAGAAACATGTCCTTGCCAGAAGGTGCTGGCAGGCGTTTGTCTGCTTGGTGCAGAGACCCCTCAGGCTACTCTTCCTCGCCGGCGCCTGCCTCACCGCGGCGTGCAGTGCCGAGGGCCCGAGTTTTAAGATAACGGCTCTATATAGCGGTTCTGTTTATAATATTGTGCTACATAGATTGTTGGGTTTTTTTTAAAAAAATGGTATTTTTCTCAATTTGAAGAAATAGGGTGACGGCAGCATTGTGCTAACTGCAAGTCGGCGAGGCTCGGCCCCCTCAGCTGCCCGCCCCCGGC